AGAGAATTCAGGCTTTGATAGTGAAATAGCAAAGTGAGGGAGAAACTGTGAGGGAGGTTGGTGTTCCTTTTGTTTGCTTTCAAGCTCAAAATATGCGTGCCATATCTCGACTAAATTACCCTATAAGTAAGGGTGTGTGTATCCGTGTATGTGACTGACTTTATGATAGGGTTCTGCAGTTACCCTCATGACATAAACACCAGGATTTGATGGTTGCCTGGAGGATGATAATTTCTAATCATGAGAGAGAAATGAGCCAACATTTTTTGAGGAGAAAAATCCAGTGAAATTTTTTATGCTGCTGAACCATTTCCTTGGGGAAGGAATGTCAGTGCCATCACTCTCACACAATTAAATACCAAGCAGCACATATTATTTAATTATATGGTGAAAAAGGAATTAATAAGATGACTTGATATATTTTTGCTGCTTTCACCCTCCAGGATTCAGTTGTACTGAACGGAAAGAGGTGGATCCTATGAGAATAAATAGCTGTGAGAGCATTTTTACAGTGTTCACGTTGTATAAAAATGAGACAGGTAGAGAATAAAGTGACAGGGAAAGCTGTTTTATTGCTAGAATTCTGGCTAGCTTTGGTTGGTATGGTTGTATGCAATTAAGTCCCAAGTCAGTGGAATTTGGGATTTTTTTTAAGAAGCATGAGTGAAAAAAGCATTTGTCCTGGGACCTAAGGTTTAAAGCATAAATTTTAGCATCAACTGTACTGCTACTCTGTAGAAAGAGATAAAAACAGAGAAGAAAGCACAAAAATTGAGGAGCTCTAGAGAGGAGAAAAAAAAAGAAAATTGACTTAAACTGTTAGTGCTATTTGGTAGGGGATGCCACCTTGTGGAAGTTGTTAGGATGTCATGTCTTTTATCAGATCTCTTGCAAATTTTCTTGACTATTTACTCTCTTCAGTCATTGTAGATAATCCTGTTTGCATAGATCAGCCTTGGTCTTCAATAGCCCCTCCATCACCTCATTTTTTTAATGTAATCTGAACTTTCAGTGTAATTTAGGGATGGAGAAATCTTACCTTGGGAGGTAAAAATCTTTGAAAAGGAGAACTTCCCTTAGCTTGCCCAGTGGGCCTGGGAATCAGCCATGGTGAGAGCGTGATCAGTGCAGATCCTATGGTGTAATGGTAGTAGTGCACTAATGGGTGTTGTCAGAAAGGTCTGATGGGAACTGTAATCACAGTGCGCACTTTGGCACGTTAACCCAATCGCTACAGCAGTTGGAAAGGAGTTAGTCCATGGTTGTCTTCATCGGGACATTAGAATTGCAGGAAGAAGGAGCAAATGCGGACATGTCTGCTGCCTCAGCTGACATACCGCTTCATTTTACATTGTAAAGGACTCTTCTCCAAACATGTTCAGATGTCTGGCATTCAATTTGTATCTCCATAGTGGTCTGCCTAAGGACAGCACGGTGTGTTGCTAATCCACAAGACCTTTGTTGCAAATGTTTCACATCAAGTGTCAAATGCTTCTTCCCTGCTAGAGGCACTGTGGAAAGGTGAAGGTGCAGTAGGTGACCGGTCTTCTGCCGAAAAGCAAAGTGTTTTGTTCCTGCGTTTACCAAAACGCTAGGGTGGCTACCACAAGCAAGTGAAGAAATGATCTGTCCTGTATGGAAGCATATATAGAGGGTCTCCTGAACTGAGACTCTGTCAGAGGGACAGAGGCCATCTGTCCATTTTTCTGCTCTCCAGCTTTGATCCTCCTTCTGCTCTTGGTCCTTTTCTGTCTTCATGTCCATCCCATGGAGCACCAATGGGCCTGTCACCTTCCTGATTTCCTACACTTGAAGGTAGCTCTCCCTTCCCTCATCTAAGCAATTAGCTGCCTCTAACTTTGTCTAAATAAACATAAACATGAGCCTTCTGGAGTAATTTCCTAGCCACCTTTCTCTTCTAGACCCAATCTCTGTGAAGGATTGTGCTGGTTTTTTTTTTTTCAAATGGTAACGAGATGGTGGTAAGGGCTTCTTTCTTCTACCTCTTTTGCTACTATCCTCATAATTGGAGTTGGATAATGAGGTGCAGCTCTTCATGGGCTGATCTTTCTATTGATCACATGTGCTTTTTGTCCTTTAATTGCCCTTCCTCTGTAAGCCTTTTGGCCTGATGATTCCAGAATTCACTACCCTCTTTCAAAACACTTGAGCTAGGGCTGTGATTTCTGAGCCTAATAGAGTATGAAACTCCAAGGAGTTTCATTCCATGTTTGTGAATAACCTTTAAAGTCTAAATTCAGATTCTGAAGGAAAGTGACACTGAACAATTTCAGTCTTTAGTAGTAATTTCTTTGGAAACATTTACAGTCTTACCCATGGAGTGTCATGAAGTCATTGACTGAAGTGCCATCAGCTATTGGCAATGTACAGCCCTGGCAGCTTAGAAATGCCATTTAAAACCTTAAATGAATGTTGCATGGTGAGAGCTGCTTTTAACCTCCCTAACCATCAAGCTCTCAGCTTGAGCAACTGCCTGCAGTTCTCATCTAAAGGCTGAAGCAGCTGAGCCACAGAGTGGATTCCAGAGGGAGCTTGAGGCACCAAAACTGCCAATTCAAGGACACAGTAGATGAAATTTAAAGCAGGAGCAATAGGGTGACTGATTCCATGAACTGCAGACAGTTTAAACCTGTGGTCACACCCACTGGGTCCTGCAGCAGAATGTGGTCAGGAGGCTTCTGTTTTGCATCTCCCCCCAGTTCTCTACTACTCCAAGTTCCCATTGACCTTGCTGATATATCATGAAAGGCAATGAGAAATCACTTCAAGACTATTAAGTGGAGAGGACGGATTTGGGGGAAGAGATGAAAGTCCTGTAGCCCTTTCCTGCCACATGCATGTGTGTATGTTTTGTACCAGTCTTCTCATAGGGATAGTAGCTATTTGACTTTTTCCTGCTACACACACTCATGTTGCAGCTGCATCCAGCCCTGTTACAGAAACAGATGTGACATTTATCCACACCCAGTGATGTAAAGCTCCCCAGCTCACTCTGTGGAATTATTGCGTGTTGAGTTTTGGAAGCAAAGGTGCTTCCCAGCCTACTGACAAGAATGCTGAAAATTTCCTCTGTGTTACCCAATGCATGTGCTTGTGAGCTTCAGACAGTTGAGGGGGGGTTCCAGATTGCTAAACTAATGCTTAGGTGCAAGGGGGCCTGGAAATAACCACCAATGTAGTATAGTTAATCTCCATCTCTTCGTCTCTTTCTCTGCCTACACAACCCTATATTTTTATGCTTTGCATGATGTTAGCTCTTACGGACTTGGTACATTGGGAGACACTTTAGTCCACTTTCCATGGGAATGCCTGTGAGCATCTTGCATAAGGCCTACTCCTGGTCACAATTCTTCACCAAACTGGTGAATCTCCTTAGATGCAAAGCAGTTTCAAAAGCTTCAAGCAAACTAGGAAGAGGGCTCAGAGGGGACAGAAGGGTCACAGGGGAAGTAAATGAAAATAACCATGCATATGATAATGAAAATATAAGCCTGACTCATAAATAAGGTGACATGAATGCAAGAAGATACTATTCTAGTTTTTCTTTCATGTTCTGTGAAGCAGCAAGCCCAAAAGGAGCCAGTTGTACCCTGAACTATCTGCCCTGCTGGTAAAATCACCTCAGACAGAAGTGGGGATATTTGCCCATAAAGTTAGGTCTGTAGCTCTTCATCATGCCAGATTAGTGCTCATCACAAGGCAGGACTGAATCCTGTTTTAGTGGAGGTACTGTTCTCTGACATTGAATTTCCAGTTTGAGTAGAAGTTGTAAGTTTATGCAAGCACAATGGGGTGGGCTTGGTGTGATGAACCTGCTAGATGGCAAGAACTTTTGTTCCTCTTGATCCTCAGTGCTGACAGATGAGCACCAGCACCTTTGGGATATCACTGTCAGTAATGATTAGGTGCTAGTTTGGTTTTCCCATGCAGTGGTCCAAGTCAATTGGGGCAAAATACTCTGAGGGGGTGGGGGTGGGGGTGTACTCTGATCCCCATCCCAGTGAAGGTGATGTGAATCTAACTTCTGACCTTTGCAAAGGCTAGATTTGGTAGGAAACTAATTGTACTGTTCAGTAGCTCACAGATTTAATTAAAGTGCGACTAACTCCTGCTTCTGATTTCACTGCACAGTGATCAGATGGGAAGTTGTATAACAGCCATTTTGAGCAAGTACTAAAAGATGGACAGCTTTTAGACGCCCTGTAGTGCAACTTGGCCATTGTTCTGAAGACCTGCCCTGTGACTTAGGGTGGGAAACCTTATTTCCTTAACTAGACATGGTATTGTTAAGAGTGAGAAGCAAAGTGAAGTTAATTTTATGTTTTATTAGCAGCTTTGCATTTCCTTCAGGTTCTCTCACTGATAAAGTAGCAGAAGTTGAGCTTCCTGTAGATAATAAACCTAGAAATCTGGTTTTTGTGACATTGAGCACTGGCAAACAACAGTAAAGCTATGAGAACTAATACTAAAACCCAACCTGGTTACTGGGACTGGGCATTTTATGACAAATATTTATTGAAATGATACTATTGATTGTAATTATCTCCAGGACTTCCTTGCTTGCCCTAGGATGAGGAAATACGGGGCTGGGTACTCTGAGACATTGTAGATGACTGCAGAAATAAAGTGCAATAGAGCATTCCTTCAAATAAAATTTTTTTGTCTTCCTACGGAAAAATTGCATTGGGTTGTGCTGTTGGGAGATCATGGGTAGCCCTGGTTTCATGTGCTGAATCTTTAAAAAGAGAATTCTGCCATCCAGTGGCTTTTGAATAGATTTATAACTATAGGTGACATGACCAAGTCTAGGTAAGAACATTTAGTTTCACTTTGTTTCAGCACCAAGCCAATGAGAGCATTACTGCAGAACAGTTACCTGAAAATTTGCTTGAGAAATTCTTTCCTTTCAGGGTCGGGAGGAAGGAGCCAGTGCCATTTATTTTAACCATGAAACTTTTCTTTGGTTTATCTCTTTGCAGTTATGTGGCTGTGGGCTGCTGGGTGTGGGCATCTGGCTGTCAGTGTCGCAAGGAAACTTCGCCACATTTTCTCCCAGCTTTCCATCACTTTCAGCTGCCAACCTAGTCATTGCCATTGGCACAGTCATCATGGTGACCGGCTTTCTGGGCTGCCTAGGTGCTATCAAGGAAAACAAGTGCCTCCTGTTGAGCGTAAGATGTCAATACTTCTTTTCACTAAGACCAGTGATTGTTGCTTTGCTATTATTTTATTTAAGTGACCGGCGCAAAATAGTCTTGTGGATCACTGTAACATTGCTCTTGGCTTTCAATCTTCTGTATGCTTGCAGTATGACATCCCACACCTTTGTTCACAGTGATATCATTGGTGTATTAGCAAATGAATCCTTGTTACTGTGTGCCCTAATGTATTAGACAGCAAAGCAAATTACTATCAGTTACCTCTGAATGGTTAAACATGAACTCCAGGGTCAACCTGGATAGCCCTTCTGGAAATGTCTGTTAGAAAGATTGACTGAAAAATCTTAAGCCACAGCTGCTTTTGGACACCACTCAAAGCCTCTCATGGCTATTTTCTACTTTGCCCTTGTCTAAGGCCTTTGTCACAGTTTGGTGGAAACCATCTGACCCAAAGTTAAGAAGTCAAGGTCTCTGCCAGGCCTTACCAATAAAAAAAAAATAAAGCTGATGCTTGGCAGTCTTTGTCCAGCACCGAAGCACAGAGTTTGGTAACCCCTCTCAAAAAACACAGTGTGGGTCACTCCTCTTGCATAAACCCAGGAGGCTTCATCATGTTTCTCCCCACCCCAAGGAGAGAGGTATTGTGGCAGAAGGTGAGAGGAAGGCTTTCAAAGCAGACAGCTTCCAGTTCAGTTACAGCTTATGAATCACAGGGCTGTGACATTAAGGAGCACATGAGTTTTCCTTGTGTAAAAGTTTCCCTTACATGGTGTTGGGGAACAGCTGGGCAGCATTCCTTAGACCACCTCAGAGTATTAAACTGGAGGACAAATGCGCACCTATTTTTTGCTATCTGCTGCTTGGTTTTGTTCATGGTACCACTAGGAAAGCAAACAGAGAATAGTAATGAGGTCTATGTCATTCATCTACACAAACTGCAACACCAGCTGAATTTGTTGTGGGTTTTTTTTTAAGTGTGTTTATATTCTTACAAGGTTCTGCAAAAGTCTTTTCATACTATCATAACTATCATGAGTTTCCAATTGGAGAGCTTGCTGCACTGCATACTACATCTGTGGGGGGGATGCCATGCCTATGTGGCAGTCCACTAGAACATAAAGGCAACTAGTGGGCATGAAAAGTAGTGAGAAACTACTGGAGCTCACAGTTGGGATGCCCCTGCAGAGAGAGATTTCAGCTACAGAGAGTTGGCAATAGAAATGTTGAGTAAAACAATGACTATTCCAACAGGCAGTCAGATGTGGTTAAAGCCCACCTGCTAGGGAATCGCTCCTAAGGCACGTCCCATTGGTCTTTGTGGTAATGGGTTTAGCATCTCTTCTATAGTCTGTATGAAGGAAAGAGACTACCAGGGCTGCGTGCTGTGACAGCAGTCCAAAAAAAGCAAGACAAAAGCATTGCTGAAATCTGTAAGCTGGTAGTAGGGCAAAACCTAAGATGTAGAGAGTGCTAGACAGTGAATTTTCTCATTGATGGTGAGACCTACAGGAGCTTTACTGGCAATATAGTATTAATATACCCGAATAGTTTGAAATCAAACTTGCATGGTTTTGGCAGTAGAGGAAAGGCTTAGAGGACAAGGTCTATAGTCTTCAGTGTTTCTAGCAGCCCCAGGTTTGCTCTCTAGTTGGCAAGTGTGTATACACTGTCTGTTTTTTCTTTGTTTTAGTTTTTCATCGTTTTGCTGATAATTCTCCTGGCAGAGCTGATATTACTCATTTTGTTCTTTGTTTATATGGACAAGGTAAGCAAATATGCCATATAGATTAATTATCTGTACTAGCATGTAAACCACGTTCAGTTTGCTTTTCTTTGATGGAGATATGTGGGTTCTCCTTGCTCCTCACTTTGGTGAAGGTTTAACCTTGAGATCTTGGCTGTTTTCTGTAAACTGCTTCTGCAGGGGGAGGAGGAAGTGATAAGGAAAGCAAACAGGAGAGAAGAACCCCCTGAGCTTTACAATTTCCTCCCTAAAATAAAACCATGGTCCAGGGCCTCCCTTTTAGTCTTCTCCTAAAAGCTAAGATAGTCTTCAACATAGCTGTTTGATGTCTCTGCAAGAAGCTGATCATCTTGTGGACCTGGGTTGTGGGAGGTCCTGCTTAAGACCTGGTTAGCTTCTGAGGGCCAACCCTGAGCAGGACCAGAGGAGAGAGGCCTGGGATATTCACAGGTTATTCCAGATGCCACCAGCTGTGTCACTTGACTGGGCAGTCCCAGAGAGTTTGACAAGGGTGCGGGGCAGATCAAGAGGCAACTTCTCATAAAGCCCATCTGTAGGAATCTGCTCTCTAGTAGAGCATAAGTGAAGTAGGCACAACTGGCTGGCCTGTCAGATTGGCAAGACTGGAAATATCCTTGGGGAACTGGAGAACTGCTAAACAGAGGACAGAGCCTTACAGTATGAGCATGTCCAGACTGATTTTAAAACTGAGCTCCTACCAGATTTGTATCTCTTCCCAGGTTGTCATTATGATGCCTGCCACTTTCAGGGAGCTGCTGTGAACTTCTGGTTTTGAATGGGATGTCAAAGAGGGATGAAACAGATCTTATAATATAGTTGACCTTTATGCCAGGAACCATAGGTTAATCCTTTCTGTGCTGCCAGCTCACTGCTGTCAGAGCCGAGGTACATTCTACCTGCATCCAGGACTCTGGGCTCAGACTGAAATTTATACAAGAAATGGGACATCTCAGATCTCCCATTGAGCATTCCAACTTCCTCCTCTAAAGAAAGAAGAGCACATTTGAAAATCATAAATCCTACAAGCCTGTCCGCACAAGGAGAACAATAATAATGCCCTTTTCCAATTGATTTTGCATTGGCCATTTATTATAGCCTGCCTGAACCTGTGCAAGGGATAACTATGTTAAGGTTGGGAGGCTGGGACTCTGGTGTTAATGATATTAGCAAATTAAAGTAGGCCATAGGTTACAGGCAAGAGAGGCTGCTGTGAGTATTGCCAACAGCTATCTCTGGCACAGTTAAAAGTAAACTCAGCAGATGTCTGCTGATCCCTCTTCAGTTAGTTTGAATCAGATGATGACTGTGTGATGGACTCTTAGTAGAAGGGAAGCTGTTTGGTCTCCTGTCTCATGAGAATTAATCCAGTATTTTGCAATCTGAGGGAGAGACTAGGCCTTGGCAGGTGCTGAAAGGTCCCACTGACTTGTGAGCGTCTTGAAGCTATGTTGGAGCTTTTCTACCCAGGTTAAGTTTGTGGTGAGAGAAGGTAAGGGAGATACATTCTATGTGCAAGTCTGTACCATTTGTTCCTTTCCTCTAAACAGCAGTGTGTTGACTTTCTGTATTTTTTATGTGATGCAGGTCAGTGAGAGTGCAAAGAAGGATTTGAAGGAAGGTATGAAGCTATACAATTCAGAAAATAATGTTGGACTGAAAAATGCATGGAATATCATTCAAGCAGAGGTAACATATTTTCTCAATAAAAGAAAAATAACAATTTGACCATAAAGGCGGCTGCAGTCTGTGGCATCAATGCCAAGTCTAAAAGTTGGATAATGTAGGCTTTTGTTTCTGATTTTGCACTCTTGAACATCCAGGGGAGTACTGTGAAACCCAGGATCAAAGTGTACTCTGTAAGGTGAAAGATGCTTACCTCTCTCTGAGATCCTCTGTGCTTATCACAGGCACAGAGATGATCTGAAACAGAGGACAAGCAGCGAAACCTGCATGGGTAGAACTGCATAGGTAGAACTGCAGTTTTGGCAGCTAGGCTTTTGCTGTTCAGCAGTTGTGGGCAGATTACCTTAGGTTTTGGTGTTTGAGCTCATGTCTCTGTGACAAGAAGACTAACAGACCTTAGGCATGGGACCATTTATTTTCTTTGGGTTTTTTTTTTATGTTGTTAAGTATTTGGTTTTAGTGATCACTGAGCACAAAGCACTTTAAAAATACAAAAGTGTTGTGGCAGCCCTTCTGAAAATATGCAGTGGTTTAGTGGAAGTAAAAGTTTGTGGTGGTGCATGAGTCACAGATTGTGCTAGTTAATTTATTAGTCCTTTACTTTTGCCACAGATGAAATGCTGTGGTGTGAATGACTTTACGGATTGGTACCCAGTGCTGGGAGAAAACACTGTCCCAGACCGATGTTGTACGGAAAACTCACAAGACTGTGGACGGAACTCCACCGAATTAGTGTGGAAAACGGTAAGGCTCGCTTTGCCCAGGACAAGGCTTAGGGAGGGGTGGGAAGGAAGAAAATAGAGGGAATGCACATGAAAGAATACATGACCTTGGGATTTCAATTTTCATCTTTCATCATTTCAGGGATGTTATGAGAGAGTTATGACCTGGTTTGATGAGAATAAGCATGTCCTCGGTTCAGTTGGGATGTGCATCCTCATAATGCAGGTAATACTGGTATGATGTTTGTCAACATGGCTTTGATTTGCTGTCAGCATTCTTGATTCTGCTGTGTGAAAAGTGGTGCTCAGCCGCTTTGAGTTTGATCATGATTTCAAAAATGTCAGATTTGTTTTATGAGTTCATTTAAGGCCATCTGCTCAGAAAGGAAGCAGGTCAGTAGTCAGTCCCGCAAAGCAGACATGCTACGGTGGGGTTTTGCTTACCTGCATTTTGACTTCAGAGCACCACTTTGGAGTTCCCATGTTTAGGCATTTCTTATGCTGTCCCTTAGAGAACTGTTTATTTAAATTTTGGAAGCAAGTTCTAGAAATTGCCAAAATGAGTCCAATCATGGCCACTAAACCGAGTAGGGTTAACGTGTTTTAAAAAAGAAATGCAGAAGTATCCATTATAATCCATTAAGGTTTTGGGGTTCCTGTATCACTGCTGTACTTTTGGGGGAGCATACCAGAATCTGATGTTTTCAGTTACAGTTATCTGGCTAAACAAGCACAAGTTGTTGGGTAAAAAGGAAGAGTGACTCGTGTATTGATTGTGAAAAACTGTTGCATGTATGACAAAGAGCCCTGAGAGCTTTTTGCCTCTATCCGTGCTCTGACAGATACATCTCTGGACATCACTGTGTGCCTGAACAGCACAGATCCAAGTTTACTGATCAGTTTGAAGCTTGAGAGATATGGCTAGTGTAGATTGTCTTTTAAAACTACAGCTGGACCATGAACACAGGTCAGCAGTGCAGTTTTGGCAGCCTCCCTGTACTGAAGCCCTTATTCTTTGTTTTCCTTCAGATTCTTGGCATGGCCTTCTCCATGACACTCTTCCAGCAGATTCACAGGACTGGCAAAAAATACGATGCCTAAAGCCTCTGAAACATTATCACATCAACCCTTCTGACTCATCATAAAAATGAACAAAAGGAATGACCTCAAAGAGTATCAAGCCTAGCCCTGCTGAGGGAATCCGTCCCATTGACCGATCTACTTTGTTGTTACTTGTCCGGTTATTACCACAGCTTGTTATCTGACTCATTTTTTTGTCTGTTTCACATTTGCCATTTATTTGCCAAAGAGGGGGGAAACCCCCCAAACAAACGGATTTTCTACACGAAATCATAGATCTGCTTTAAGAATGTTTCTTAACTTAAGAACATGTTTTGCTCTACTAATCCATGCTATATGTGCAAAAATGATGTGTGTTCAACTTCAAGGGAGAATTCTTCAAAGTCTTCCATTAAGTTTTCAACCCTCATGTCCAATTTACTGGAAGACTCGGAAAAGCCACTCTAACTGAGAGTCCTAGGAATTGGAGCTGCTTTGCTTTGCAGCTTCTTGTACCTTACGGTGTATACTTTTTTATTATGATAATGATGATGATGATTATTATGATGGATATAGCTTAGAATTTAGTTGCCTGACTTATAACTTCTTACTGTTTTTGGTTTTACACATTTATTGTACATTAATTTTGGAACCACTGTGCGATCTCCAGAGGACATGTTTTTCAGAGTTGACAGTTGGTGCGAGCAAATAAAGATGTAACTTTTCTCAAGTCCATGGGGAGGCATCATCTACCTTTATCAGGGCCTTGATGCCCTTACTGTAACAAAGGTGGTTCCTTTCAAATCAGAGGCTCTTTCCTCAGATGGAATGCAATGCCTTCCCAGTGGACCAGATGGTGAGCTTCCTACTCCTGTGAGGCAAAGTTCCAATGCCTTTACTCACCCAAAGCAGTGTCAGGCCGCTTTGATATCATGCTGCTTTGAAAGCTAAAAGTACTGACTAAGCAAGTTACTGCTCCCTAGCATGAAGGCGAGAGGTTGCAGTCTGACCTACTGGCCAGTTGGCAGCAGACTTCACAGATTGTGTTGTCTGTTTCAAAAAGTTTGCCCAAGGCATGGGATGCTGCTGGATATGAGGAAAGGGGATGGCAATTTGATGGCAAGATTGTCGTGGCATACCCTTCATTGAAGGGGTTTCCTCAGGCAGATGACAGCTGTCTCCCTCAGCTGGAAAATGCGGTTGGATTAAAGGTGACCAGATGATGCAGGGAAGGGGCAATTTCCAAAACAGCACTCAGAGACAGCACGTGTTTGTCACACCTTCAGTACAGTATTGGTTCTTGCTGACGAATTGCCAAGTCCATCCAATAGGGTAGTTCAGAGCTCACTGCAACACATTTTTTTACCAACATTCTTGTTAGAAAACTTGAACATGTATTTCTCTAGTTCGAATGCTGCTTCATTGCAGGCAGTCCCCATTTGCCAGTTGTTCCAGGTTTTTGCTGTTTTGTGAAGGAAGAAGGAACGGCTCAGACATTGGAGGATGTTCTGATTTAACGCCAGTCAGGGCTCGACTCAACTCTGAAAGAAACACTGCTTTTTGTATTAGCAGCAGTCAGAAGTGACCTTCAGAGGTTACCTCATCCAATGTCACTCTCAAAGGGGTACTGTCATCTATGTGAGGTGCGGTTTACTGTGACATTATTGGGCTGAGTTTCAGAAACTGTTGAGGATGGAGATGTTGTGCCTTTCAGAGCCATGCCATGTCAAACTACTCCTCTGGTAAACAAGTTTTCTCTTAATGTCCAGTCTGAGTATTTATACTTTAAACTCTTAAAAGGTATCATTTACATTGTATCATTCACCTTATCTTTTCCTTGTGAGCTGAAATAGCTGTTGAGCCACTTCATATCTGGGAGTTTTTAGTCCTCTGTTTATCTTCCTAGTAGGTCCTGCATGCATCTGTACATCTGGCAGCAATAGTGTTTTTTGTGGCCTATGTGTCACTTTTTTGAGTTCCTATGAAATCAGTGTGACAGGAAGAAGTGTGAATGTGTGGGAGATAGAGATGAATTTGGGTGTTGCAGTGAAGAAGGAGGTTACTATTCTTAGAGCATGGCCCTTGCCCATATGAGCACAATGCCCAAAGTTTCACAGGGCTCTTCTTTCCCACTGAAGCAGACAATGCCATATGGGTTCAGCTATTTCACTTGGATTGCCTTTGAAGGAGTCAGGGAAGAAGCAGAGGGAAAGCACAGAAACTGAATCCAGTTTTACTTCCATTTCTAACAAAAATTGGGACCAGGTGCATCTGAGCCCCACTGGAGATGGATGTTCCATGTTGAAGAAGGGGCCCTGATGCCCAATGTACTTGCTGCTACATGTAAGACTGTATCCGAAGTTGCTAAGATGCGTTCCCATTTTTGCAAGAAAAGACAGGACGATTTTCATCTGATGGCTCCACTGCATTCTCCATTTGAGCAGAGGTGCTTAGCTTTCTCTAGCTTTCTCTGGTGTTCAAAAAGAGCAGGGTGCAGGGCTGAGCAGGAGCATCATCTCTGTCCTTTTGGGTCGCACAGTGGTACCTGCCACATCTTAAATTTTAATCTGCAGTCAGTTTTTGTACAAAATATGGTAAAATATATTAGTGAAAGTAATAAGGAAATAAAAAATGTTTATGAGTAACTCAGAGATGAAATGTGTAGTTGCAAACTCAGCTACTTTGCCTTCCATCCAAACTTATTTTTCTAGAATGCTTCATTCCATTTCACGATCTAGCAGCATAGATCCTGAAATCTTTTTTTTATGACTACTTTTGGCATTTTAAGCACAGTATTAAGTGAGATAGTTACACAAGCTTCATGTATTCATCTCTATGAAGCCACCTACAGGAAGGGAGTCAAAAGCAGGGCTGATTTGTGTCTCTAGCTGACTCTCTGATGTGGGAGGTGATGACAGACATCCTGAAAGGGGCAGGAAAGTAATGCCATTTTCCAGGCAACAAAAAACAGCCCTGGAAAGTGTGAGGCTGCGTCAGTTTGTCAGAGAAGGCACTAACTGTCCTGTAAACTGGTCAAAGGGAGCTTTGGCTCATGTATGTATGCACTTTTTTTGCTTATGCTGGTGGGTGGCTGTCTGTGTGTTTTCCCCAAATGTCACTCTGATTATTTAACTATAAGTTTTTAGCATGTTTTTAAATAAAAACTGATACTGAGTAAAAGTATCTTTAATATACACAAATATTGATTTGTATAAATGCATACCTCTCTGTATCTCTAATTCATGACAGCACAGTTCAAGTGTGTGAATGTGCTGTTTCTCTGAGTGTTCCTTCAGACTGTAGCATACCTGCCGTCTCACTGTGCTTCAGGCTTGGAAGCTGCAGCAGAACTTAAGTAGAGACATAATAGGAGAATTGCGTGAAGAACCTCTACTTGAAAGCTGTTGAAGTGATAGCAGTGAATTCTGTTCCCTCCTGGTGGTACCAAGGCTGTTAGTTATAGGAAGCCCAGGTGGAGGGCACTCAAAAGAAGTGTCCATAGCTAAGTAGCATGTGAGATGAGAAAATTGATGGCATAAATGTCTCCAAGATGACAGAAGATGCCTTGTATGTGTCATGCATTGAGTTCCTGGACTATGGTCATGTTAGGCCAACTCTCCTATCCTGTGTCCACCCCCCATTTCTATGCATGAAATACAAACTCACACACAGGAAAGGTGCAAGCAGAGGGCAGCCGAACTGATCCTTGTGGTCTTTCTTGGGCAACGTATTAGTCAGGCATAGAGAAGGCAAGATGGAAAAGGGGGTTTTCCCAGCAGATGGTTCTTGGGAGCAGCATGGAATAGGGCACACATAACTCTGATATAATCTCTTTCCATAGAGTTGAGCAGCTTCATCCTGTAGCTGGCATGGGGGAAACCTGGAGATGTTTGCCTATGGGCTAGCCATCTGTTGTGCAGTAGATAGTAGACACTAAGGAACAACATGCCATTCCCACCAGGTGATGTTTGCACCAGTGTTTCTTCTATGCAATACCTACTTTCGCCTTTATATAAAAGATTTTTACTAGGATGATATAAAAATAAAGGATTTTTTAAAAGGTGCCTCTTTGAGCTCATTTCTCTCCTAACCCCAACTACCACCAAAACCAAAAGGGAACAAAAAAAATTCCAAAAGGTGACACAGAGATCTATTCCAACTCCAGCGCAGTTGAAGTCCAGAGCTCTTGAAGCTCTTGCATCTCTGAAAAGATCCCTCCCCCTGTCCTCTCTCATCCTCCTTCATAACAATACTCTAATAAAACAGAAATAGGTGTGAAAGATCCCCAGAGAACAGCAAATTGGTTTTGAGAGCCTGGTGAAAGAGTTTGCAAGTGTCCCAGAGAATACAGAATAGTCGAAGAGAAGAGAGCTTGAAAGACATCCAGAGGACACTGAGAAGTCTCAGAGAAACTGTGAAAATTGATTAAACACTGAGATAGAAAAAGATCACAGAAGAGCCCTCCAAATGCTGGGAAAGTTGAAGATGGTCTGAAAGATCCCCAGATGAAACAGTGGAGCCAAGCAGAAGCCAACAAAGCAACAGAGAGTCTGAAAGAGATTCAGAGAACATAAAGTAGCCTCAAGAAGGTAAGAAAGCCTGTAAGTGCCCAAGGAAAAAAAATGTAGCAGTGTCAAAGAGGTCAAGAAACAAACAGACAAGGCAAAGGACTCCCCAGAGAATACCGAAGAGGCTCAGCAATAACAAGAAAGTATCAGAGATATTAAAGGAGCTCCAGAGTACCCAGTAGTACCAAGGGTGTCCTCAGAGAAGACAAAAAGAAAAAAAAAAAGGCAGAAAGCTTGAAAGTGCCCCAAAGAGTAGCACCAAAGAAGAGAAGATGAGCCAAAATCTGTAAAAGACTCGGAGAACACAGAGTAGCCTCAAAGAGGCAAAGAAACTAGTAGAAAGCCTGAAAGAACCATGGTGAGCACACCAGAGACTTTGACAATAACAGGAAAGTAGCAGAGGTTCTGAAAGAGCCCTAGGAGAGTATGCCTGCAGCTGCTAAGGAAGGAGAGAGGCTGAAAGAGCAACAGAGAACAGCCTTGGAAAAGGGAAGAAACAAGCAAGGAGGCTGAAAAAGTCCCAGGAGAAAGAGTAGCTGCTGAGATGCCACAAACCTTGAAGAGAGACTGAAGCAGCCCCAGAAAACCCAGTTTAAGTTCAGAAAAGTGTGGGGGGGTGGGGGGTGTGGAAATACAGCAGAAAGCCTGAAAGTACTCCAAAGTCACCTCGGTGAGAGGAAGGAACAGACTGAAAGCCTGCAAGGCAGCCATAGCAGCTTTGGAGATGCTAGGGAAGAAGTGGAGAGGTTCAGAGAGTCCCAGAGAACAAAGCAGCCTTGAAGAGCCTGAGAGACTAAAGAG